AGCAATAAAATGTACAAAAATATTGCAGCATTATTAGCCTGAACTCTATGAATGCCACAGAAAAATAAGTACCTCGGGATCTATTTTATACAGATATGTCCTAAAGTGCCACTACAAGCAAACAAACTTTGAAGCAAATTTAATGAACCTTCCTTATATTATTGACATTCAACATTTCATTTACAGACATGTAATAAGAATAAATTATACATACTCGCAGCAGCCACTTTATCTTCTGCCACGGTAACCAACGAACTGACTTTGTCCTGCTTTTCTTGAAGTTTTGCTTCGGCAAGGTCAATTTTGGCTTTTTTTAACTCGATGTCATGCAAGTTAGAGGATAATTCTCCTTGTTGATTTTTCAGTTTAAAGAACACAAATTTCTGCCAGAATGGTGTGTGATCTCGTTTACTGTCACATTATTATTATTATTATTATTATTATTTAAAAATATTTAACAACGGTAGCCCTATCAGTTATAGTTAAAAACTGTTTTCCAAGGGGCCGTTCACACAAGGGGCCGTTCACACGTATATACATATATACACACACATACATTTACATACATATATACATATACATATACATACATATATATACACATATATATATATATATATATATATATATATATATATATATATATATATATATACATATACACATATATATACACATACATATATATATATATATATATATATATATATATATATATATATATATATATATATATATATATATATATATATACATATATACATATATATACATATATACATACATACAAAAGAAACTTAAACTACAAACTACTACTAATTACTATAATAACTATTTACAAGAATATTTTAATGATTTCAAAATATCATATGGAAACTAATCTGCGCCCCCAACAATAGCTCTAAACCTCTTTATGCCCATTGACTTACTCTTAAGATCATTTGTGAGATCATTCCAACATTTTGCACCAGAGTAACTAATGCTTTTTTTCAAGAAATTTGTATTTGGCTTATCTAACGTAAAGTTGTTTAAATTGCTTCTTAAAGAGTAATTTTGATTATCACAAATATTAAACAAATTTCCTATTGAATCAGGTGCGATCCCATTTTTGACCTTGTACATTAATAATGCTTTTTTGTTACGTCTGCGCTCTTCCAACGTTTCCCAGTTGAGTTGGCGCAGTAACTCCTTTGAAGGAGCATCGTAACCGCTCCCTGTTAAAATTCTAGCCGCTCTATTTTGCATTTTTTGTAGTTTCTGTATGTTATAGTTAGCTGCATTATCCCATACCATGCTACAGTAATCGAAATATGGGAGTATTAAGCTGTTGTATATAGTTTGCAAGACAGATTGGGTTACAAGCGATTTGATCCTTTTCATTATTCCTAAACCTTTCGAAACTTTAGCATTGATTTCATTTACATGGTCTTTCCACATTAATTTGTCATCGATTATAACTCCAAGTGTTTTGCATTTATTAATTTTCTTTACAGGTTCATTACCTATGCTTATTATTGGTTCTTCTTGAATGTTTAGTATTTTTTGTCTTGAACCAATAATCATGTACTCTGTTTTATTGTAACTAAGAGTTAATTTATTTGCGAGAAGCCAGTGGTGTACTTTTTCTAAATTGTTATTCAAATTACTTTGGATAACAAATTACTTGTTATTCAAATTACTTAGGCTAAACAGGTTCTTAAATATAGGTTCTTATTTTCTTAAGAGAAAAGAGACTCATTTTAGGGAGGTATGGTATATATGATTTATATAAATTATGCACAAATGATCTAAAAAATGACACTAGAGCATATGTACTACACCAACCCTATATATGCACTTTGAAGCTACACTGATTGTAACTTATGACTTAAGTTTGACTCTATTTGATAATATAAGAATCTGTTTTGAAATTCTAGCCCAAACAGGTTCTTATTTAAAGGGGTCTACATAAAAATATTTTAGCCTAACAGGTTCTTAAATTCTAGGTTCCTATTTTACTGTATTACACTAACATGAAGCATTGACGTAAATAATAATGAAACAAGCGAGTACTTGCCGTTTTTTTAAAAATAGTTATCAATACAGTGTCAAAAAGTTATAAAAGATGAAAACTCATTTAGTAGCACCAGCGCTTATAACCATATTAACAGTGTGATGCAATTGTGCATTCTACATATGGCATTTTGTACGTTGTACTATAGTAGCATAATATGCATGTATGTTAATCCTTTGTAAATATGTTAATTACTAATCGGTATATAAGTTAGACTTAGGCAATAATAAAGGCTTCTTTACAATACTACATATGGTATATATCCACCGAGAAAACTTCAAGGAGATATCAGTTGTCCAACGACGTACTGACTCCGTAAAAAAAGAAACACACGAAGAGCAAGATGGATACGATCTGGACGAACATCAACATGGTGGGACAATTTCGAGAACAACGTTTTAATGTTGGATGAAGAATGGCGTGAGAACTTTAGACTGTCGAAGGTAAATTTTTCTAAGTTGTGTGAGGAACTGAAACCATATCTTAACAAGAAGACAACAAACATGAGAAAGCCAGATCGTGTTGAAGAAATAATAATTATTTGTCGGACCAAGGAAGGGAACACAAGGTTGCCAAAGTATTTGGTTTGGGAGAAAGTACTGTGTTAACAATTGTTCTTTTGCAATTGTGAGTTTGTGCTGTGATATCCATGGTCTTAGGACCAAAGTACATCAAGTTGCCAAAAACTAAAGAAAAAGTTAAGGAAGCAGTAGAAAAGTTTTATGAAAAACATGGATATCCTGCAATTGATGGAACTTAATTCATAAAACAAAATTCATGAAAATCCAACCGATTTAATCTAACGGATATTCTATTTAACATACAAGCTATTGTTTTACAGACAATAGCTTGTGATTAAATGGCCTGGGAGTGGCCATAATGCTAGAATGCTCCCCAATTCTGGACTAAATGAGATGCTAAAAACTGACACAATACCTCCTTTGTATACCACACTTGTACCAGATTCTGTACCAGTCCCTGTTTGCATTTTGGGAGATCCGGCTTACCCACAACTGCCCCGTCGTATGAAAGAATTTCCAGGAGGTGGAACTACCTGTACTGCCAAAGAGCAATTTTTTGGTTATCTGCAGGAATGGTTATTGAATACTCGTAGAGAGGTGGACATAAATATTGATGAACGTTAAATATTGATGAGATACATGCCTGCTTCATTTTACACAATTTTTGTGAAATTAATAAAGATCCATTAGCACAAGAATATATTGATAGTGGCATGCAGTATGAAAGAGAATTTCAACCAGCAGGAGGTACATCAGCAGACAGCAAGTATAAACTGGAGCTCAAAGTAAGGAAATACGGAATGCATTTGTTGAATTTTTTGACTAGTGATAACAAAGTCTAACTGTTTTGCAGTTTTGTCAGTAGAATTAATATATTTACCCACATTTACCGAGCAATTAAATTAAATTTTTAAAAATATTTTTTATTAATGAATAATTATATAATTATTTCAAATAAAATTATTTTTACTATGCAGTAAGATCGTTTGACATCAGTGATTCTATCTAATACAGACTGGGGATGGCTATATGAATATCGTTTAGCGTCCCTACTGTCCATATAGACATGAAATACATAAATACAGTCTGAAATACATGAAACTAAAGACATAAAATATTACAATTTATACAAAACTGCAGTCAACGTATTAACGAGCAACACTTGTCGTCATACGTAAAATCTTCTGGCGTTAGACAGACTGACAGAGTAAAATAACAATCTAGGGCACACTGAGGCTTAATGGGTTAAAATGCCTTATCTTTTCAGCTAATGGCTATAATAGCTGGAAAGATAAAGGATTCTAACCCATTAAGCTGTTGTTACAGCCGTTAAGCCTTCTGCAAATGAATCCATAGTTTTCTGGTACTTTCTTTCCGATGCTTTCCCTGCTATCTTCCGTTTCAGCGCCAATTCTTCATTCACGATGGCTGTCAGCTGTATATCAGTAGCAACCGTTTTGGTCAGTTTCGAATCCCCTTTGTCGTGCAGAAACTTTACCAGAATTCGCCTTCCCTCGTCTTTCTTTGTTGCGTTTTCGTCTTGGAACTTTCATTCTGCATGATGTTTGAAGGGTCATGAACCTGTAAGTGTATCTTGTTCTTCTTGTTCTCGGAAACTCTCTATTCCAGTTATTGTGCATTCGACTGCCAGAGAGCCACCCCAATTAAATTTCTAACATTCGTCGTCAAATGTTGTAACAATTCTCCCACCACCACTTCTTCCAGAGTCGATTCTCATGATTTTCATCATTTTCGATTTTCACGTACAGTATGATTTTCAGATTTTCATCATTTTCAGATTTTGATGATTTTCAGATTTTCATGATCTCACCTTACTCGCTTTAACTTGCTGGATAATCTCTCTTGGATAAAGACTTAAACGGACTGGGACTGAATTTGATTGGGTTCCGTGCATGTGAACACTTTTCGTCTCGTGATTAATCCGGGTTGGTATGAACATGTAGAAACGGGCGAATTTGAGTACGGTTCCGAATTCATCCAGCCCTGTGTGAACGGAGACTGAAATAACGGTCAGGTATTCACTATATTGGACATCCACCGAATTACAGTTTTACCAATTAAATGCTAAATTGGTAGGACATTTTGTCCGGAAAAAAATAGCTATACAATAGGTTTTTTAGTATGGACCGAGCGACGAAGGAGCGAGGTCCATGCAAAAAACAGAGGTCTAATATTTCACAGTACAGACCGAACAAGCGAGGTCAATAATCGGTTTATTATATGGCTGAACTGAGTCTGTGAGCATATGGTTTTCGCGCGAATTAAATCGGCTATCGTCAGTTTCACTAGGTAACAATATACGGTAGATATGCATGCTCAATCAAAAACAATTTGGTTGTTTGAAATTCTTATCTGTAAAGCACAATTGAAAATTTAAAAAGCAAAACTTTTTTCTGTTTGCAAAGCAAAAATTTCCCGCCAGATAAACGACTTCCGGAACACCGGTCCAGATACGGAAAATACATGTACCGACCACGGTCCGGATATGGGTTTTTACGGACCGCTTGTCAACCAATCAGAATAGAGAATTTTGAAAAGCCATATAATAATACAGTAGATCAGTTTTCTTGAAATGTCCGACCAAATTTGAAAGTTTCCAATCGAATTTAATATTGGTCGGACATTTTTTCCGGACAATCATTAAACATTATTTCAGGCCCTTCTCGTACAAGTACATGTATCTAAATCACCCAGGAAATCAGTCCCTTTTGACTGAGAGTACACGAAGGTTACATACTGCCACCCCAGCTAGCTAAAGAACACGAAGGAGTGCGTGTAGGTCTGCATTATAAAACGCTGCAAATGCGGAGAATAACCTTGCAAACTAAATTGACTGAAATTAATGAAATACTCCACTACACCATGAAACAAACCTTTGCACCCCATTTTGATGTTGGCATGTCTATTAAAACAACGTCTTCGAGTTTTTCAGGAATATCAAATGTAATACCAGGCGTGTACAACGCACAAACAACATGGACCCATCTAAAGAGAAGAAACCACAACTTTTTCTAACCGAGTAAAAAGGACACAAGTGGGAATTATTAAATTGTGATACAGTGGCAATAAAGCAAGAATAGTGACCGTGAATAATACATACTGTCCACGTAACGTTTCTTTAAAAATCCCATCCAGGTTTGGACACAGCTCGCACTCCTACATGAGAAAATAGAAATTTACTAACGACCACGTCTGATGCAAAGGTGTACATGCACTAACTGTTGTGTAGAAGTAAACTGAAACGATAACTCCTATGATAAAGGTCTGTGGATGAAGCCAAATTTCGGGCGCTCAAGTATAGCCTGTTCGCAGGTATGTATACGAAAATAAATACACAAAATTTTTCACGAAGTATTTTTACTAATTTAATCTCTAATTCATTATCAACCATATCTACGATTTTTCTACATAAATTGTACAAAATTGTCTCTGAACTCGATTTTTAAGCTGTATTTTTCGCATCCATTTTGTAAAAAAGGACTGGGGCTACCTGCAGAAAACACTCAAGGCCGGCTTCAAAGATGGCGGCCAACTTGTCGTTCCAGTTTACTAAAAGTTCAGTGGCCACAACACAAACACCCCATATCTTTTCATGGCTGTAGGTGTTAGGGAGCTATTGAGCGACGAAACTTTCATGTTCTAATGGGCTAGTTCCAAATTAAAAATACATACAAAAATACGGTATTTAAAAACTTTGAAATCAATTAAGAATTCTGGAGTTCTATACAGGTCAACTCCAAGGGAGTGGTGCCAGCTATCATTGAAACCTGGAGTAAATGCCTAACCAAAATAGCCTAAAAATAAGGCTACAATAGCTATAAGCCAAATTCAAAAGCTCTTAGGTACAGTAGAATCTGCCTGAATCGTAGTATTGGGATGCCTGGTGGTCTTTAGACCCCCCACGCCTACTACCTCCATTAGAAGATTGGCTACCTCCGTGAAAATAAAATGCATCTTTAGGAATTAACCCCACACTTACAGGAGTCCCTCCACTTCTACACGCATCACAAAACCAAGGTTCTGTAGATGACTCCGAGTCTGATGAATCATCTGAATTATCATCATCCGTGTCGATCCCATAACAACCTAAAGAGATAAAAACAACACCGCAAAGTTTCCGTGGTCCGATCGACGAGTTGCTAGACTTGTTGAAACGAGAAATATATCAGGTGTTTCAAGCAGATTATTTAAATATGGGACTCGTTGGTTACAGGATTTTTTCAGTCAGTATTTGCACAGACGATTCAGTTAACCAAAACAGAGCGCAAACGAGGGTGAGAATCCCTCAAGAGCTCCACGATCTTAGCGTTTACATTCTTGTGCATGGTAAATCTGCATTTGGTATGTTCGTAATTTTGCAGTACCTTGTCAAATTTCCAATCGGAAAAATTACTCAAACTGCACTGCAACTACTGCATGCCTGTATATTTAGCTTTTTGCAGCTAGCCAAAAAAAATTTGCAGTTATCGCTGCGTGGTCCAAACTTGCCCGCTTCACTTGAAGCTTGAAACTTGCGACAGGGGACCGGGCACCAAAGAAACTTTTTGAGTTATGTTTCATATTGTCAAAATTGAGTGTCTGTTAATTTGCTCAAACCCGATTGGTCGAAGATTTTCATATATCAAGCCGACAAGATTGTCGGCTGATGAATAAAATTCAGCCACAGAGCAGGAAATTAGTCAAACCACACAACGCTTGTTAGTTTAATATTTGTATTTTTACTGTTTTATAAGAATTTGAAATGAAATTGAAAATCATCAAATTGATCAAAATACAAGTATATGTTTATGAGTTCAATAATCAATTTACAAGGACCTTCTGACCAAGGATTGCAGTTGGCCAAGCACTTGCAGGTAGCGCCGCTACTGTATAGGATCCCAACATCTGACAGGCACGAACTACTTCTGTACACTGGTGATATCATGCATTGAGTTTCAAAACTAATTATGCAAGATAAAGTTTAGCGCCGTGAAATTGTGAAATTGTAAAAGTTCTGGAAAAACCCCTATCCTGTTCCGTGAATTTTAGATATCTTGTCTTGTTCAATCATTATAACCTCCCTCGTAATTTAAAACTGCTACAATTCGTCTCATCCACACCGGGCGAGCTTGAAAAATATGCCCGGCCACGGTGGGATTCGAACCTACGACCTTTGGAATACTAGCCCAATGCTCTTCCAACTGAGCCACGCGGTCAGGACGGTTCGAGTAAGTGATATTTCGGAACAGAATCTAGTTCCTTCAATACCAATGGTTTCTAATAATATGAATTTTTTTATTTTTTTGTTTTGTTTTGTTTTTTTCTAAAAAAAATGTTTGTTTTGTTTGTTTTTTTTCTAAAAAAAATTCATATTATTAGAAACCATTGGTATTGAAGGAACTAGATTCTGTTCCGAAATATCACTTACTCGAACCGTCCTGACCGCGTAGCTCAGTTGGAAGAGCATTGGGCTAGTATTCCAAAGGTCGTAGGTTCGAATCCCACCGTGGCCGGGCATATTTTTCAAGCTCGCCCGGTGTGGATATACACTCAGAGTAACACCACAAATATCATATTCACCTGAGTACACTACACCAACACAAAAAAAATTCAATTCGTCTCATGTTTTGTTGCTAACATGCACACTCCAATTATTAAAGAAGCCAAACTTTTACACTAACTATATTGTGATTCCACACAGACTACTATATTATGTATTTACCATCCAAATTTCACTTACTCTCATGAACACAAATTCCGCAATTATCACATTCAACAATTTCATCATCTTCATCACTAAAACAAGAATTTAAATATAAAATGAGCTAACTACAGTGTAATTACAGTAAATCTACAGCAGTTTAGGTACATTTAGATTTAAATTACTACATTATATCAACACGATTTCTGAAACATGCAAACGATAAAATGATACTTTGAACTCATTCATCAATAATGGAAAGAGATTTACAAATAGAGAACAGTACATCACTTTTATAACGCCAGCAAATCAACTTACTTGTTATCTTCCAAGCAAATACCGCAGATGAGTACTTTTAGTGAGTCCTTGGGTTTTGAATCCTCTGCCTTGTAAAAAATACCCAGTTCAAGTCTCAAGAACTGATTTTGTCGGTCTGATTTTAATCAACCATTACAAGTTTATTTGAAAAGTAGTTAAGAGAAATATATTGTCGAAGATGCCGAGGCATATACAGTAAGATAAATATTTTCTATCAAGAAAGGAAACAATTTTTGGAAAGCATGTTTGCCCGCCGTGTACATCTCCTCAAAATATTATAAGGTACCATAAATTGCAGAT